TGATCCGCTGCTCTTCCTTCCGAGGACATTACTGAGGTAAAAACCTGATACATCTCTTCACAAAAGGGATTTGTTATTTTTGTTTATATGATTTCCAGGTTCCTGTCGGGTTGATTAACCAGATGATGGAGCTGTTCCTCGGGATGGAGCGGGAACTAGCTGCGGCTGGACCCAGACAGCCTTTGACGATGAGAGGGGGAGGAGGCCCTGCCGCTGATAGCTGCTAGATTTCCCCGCTTTGCTTTGTTTTTCTTCTACTGTATTTTCTGTACTGAGACTCGGCTGCTTCTCTGAACTTTAGCTATATTTCTGTACCGAACTTTATTTGTACCTGCACTTGATCAGTACTGAGAAAATATATGCATGATTATCAAATTTGAGAGAACATAGGGTTGTCTTGAGGGGAAAAAGAGAAAAAAAAAAACAAAAGGATTTATTAACACCCCAAAAGAGTTTCACAATTTTTTTTTTTTTTTTTTTTTGTTTGCGGCGGCTGGCTGCCGGGCTGCTCGGCACCGGGTCCGGGCGGTGGCGCCAGGCTGGCCGCCGGCCGGACCACCCCGACTCTGAATTTCCTTCACTATAAAAAGCTGGATTTCAGCCTTTTTTTTTTTTTTTTTATTCTTCTCTCTTTCTCGAATTCTGTGCCCAGAAAAAATCCAATTTCGGCAGGTCAGTTTTTATTTTTTTCTATTTTTTTTATTATTTTTTTTTCTTTATTTTTATTTTTATTTTTTAGTCTTCATTATTTTATTTATTTTAATCATTTTCTTTTAGGAAAGATAAAGCATAAAACAAAAAAGAAAAGAACATATAATCCCTTCTATACCATAAGCGTTGCACAGCTGGACTAGGAGTCTCTCCAATAGTTGAAAAGATCCAATATGGGAGGTACGGCTTTTCTCCTTTGGCCCATTACTCTCAGAGGTTGGTTATTGGATTGGGATTTTTTGGGCCTGCATTAGATTTTGACCCTGAGGCCCACGTTTTTCCGGTTCGGCCATTGATGGGAAGAGATAGTGCCCTCTTTTTGAGGAGTTTTGTGCCATTGTGGGGATGTTGAACCCTAATGCCCCTTTGGTCAGGCATGAAGATTAAAAAGCTGGGTATATTAGATCGTTTGAGGGACCCTGTGTGTTTCGATTCAGCCGGCCCACTAGAGCTATGATCATGATCGTTAATGACCAGAAAGCGATCCTGCTGCCCCTGATTGATGAGTTCTCAGAGGCTCAACCAGATGACCCAGACCGGATGAGGCTGAGGATGCGTGCTTTAGTTTTCTGTTTGTTGGCTGGCTTCTTGTTTAACCGGGACCCAGGCTTCGGGGATCTGTGCCTTTGCCCCATGGTTCGGCAAATGGAAGACATGGGTTGCATCGGTGGTCTCATACTGGCAGAGGCTATTAGGAGCCTCGACAGGGCTGTTTTAGGGTTTGAGGAATGGACAGTCTCTCCCATCATCCTCCAGGTATTTCCCCTTACCACCTTTCTCATTTCCTTTTCCTTTTATTATTTCATTGTAACAGAAAGGATCCATTACTCAGGTATGGTTGAGGGACCATCTCCAAGTGGTTGCCGCTCCTCCGACCTCCCTTCCCTACAATCCTTCTCAGTATCGCATGCGGAAAATCTTGCTCTCCCACCATTCTACTGAAGCATGGACTTCGTGGCTAGTTGAATTGGGTCCAAATGAGATACTGTGGTTCGTTCCTTGGTACAATATCAACCGCTTTATTCAGGTCAGCTTTCGCCATTCTCGGGTTTATCTTCTAGGCCTCACACACTGTACTTGGTACTGCGCTTCTCGCGGCGCGTTCTGAGGGCAGATGGGGATTAGATCAAAACTGTCCCTATTATGGATGACTTTTTCAGCTGATTCTGCGATTTACTGGCTGGTGTTTACCCGAGCTGTTCTTAAAGTTGGGGTTACGAGATCAACCGTATGGTTAGACCTTTACCTGATCCTACCAGCGTTCAGACTTCTCCTGAGTATCGGCTGGTCATTTACTACTGTCTGGGGCCAATTGGAGAACCAAGGAGGGACTGCACTGCTGAGCGTTTACTCGAAGGTTTGGTTCCAGGCTGAATGCTGAGGATAGGTGGGACTGGTGAGGAGGATGTGTTGGCTCCTCGGACCCGGCGAGGCTGGGCGATAGGAGACTCAGGGAAGGGATTGCCGCCCCGCGGAGCGACGGGATTGCCTAGACTCTATAGCTTTTTCGAACTTCATTTTGTTGGTTGACCTTTATTTGGAAATTTTGGGGATTTTTAGATGTATGTTTTATACTTTTGTCTTGAACTTAGCCTTATTTTGGATCTTTCACTTTCTTGACCTTTATTGCTTAAATTGAGAATGTTGTTTAGCTTTTCCCAAGCATTTTCCCAACTTTTATTTATTTAAAGCTCTAATTTTGCCTAAGCCGCCCTTTCGGCTTTTCAGCTTAGCGAGCTACCCAACTATTGCCTAAGCTGCCCTTTCGGGGTTTTCAGCTAAGCGGCCCCGAACTTTTGCCTAAGTCGCCCTTCGGGTTTTCAACTTGCGGGTTTTTTCTTATTTTCCTTTCTCTTTTTTTTTGCAAAGAAGGCATGAAATTTGTGAAATGATGATTTTTTTTTACTAATTGCTTAGACCGCAACCCAATGAGGGTTGGCCTACATATCTCCGAATAAATTTCTTTTTTTCCAAGAGATCAGGCCTAAATGTAGTTTCTACATTATGCAAATGATTACAACTACACAAAATATCCTCTTAACTAATCTAAATTACACGGATTTGTGAATTCCAAACCATCCAAATCAGTCAAGATGATGGCTCCGCCGGATAATATTTTCTTCAATACGTAGGGTCCAGCCTAATGAGGACGAAACTTCCCACGTGGGTCCAGGATTGGCTGTCTAATTTCTTTCAGGACTAAACACCCTTCTTCGAGTTTCCGGTCTTTAACCTTCTTGTTAAAATGCCGCGCCATTCTTCTTTGGTAAACTTGAGCTTGGTGGATCGCTTGCAATCGCTTCTCATCGCAATCGTTTTTCGTCCATACCCAAGAGTTGCAAATGATAATTCTTAGCCCAATTCGCTTCGCTGATCTGGCTTTCTCGGATAATCCTCACCGACTGAATTTCCAGCTCAATAGGCAACACTGCTTCTATACCATACACTAAGGAATACGGAGTTGCTCCGGTGGGCGTTCTGATTGAAGTCCTATATCCCCATAGGGCATTCAGTAACTATTCATGCCAAGCTTTGTGCTTTTTAACTGTCTTCTGCAAAATGACTTTTATAGCCTTATTTGCAGCCTCTACAGCCCCATTTGTTTGTGGACGGTAGGGAGAGGACTTATGATGCTGGATCTTCTTTCGCTTCAGCAGGTCTGAGAACTCGTTTTGAAAATGAGATCCATTATCAGTGATAATCTCGAATGGTGTCCCATACCGACAAAGGATGTTGGTACGAACGAACTGTGCTGCCTTCTTGGCATTCAAAACCGAATAGGAGGCTGCCTCGATCCGCCTCAATCCACTTAGTGAAATAATCAACAGCAACCAAGATGAATTGATGGCCATTAGAGGCCTTCGGGTGGACTTTTCCGATCACGTCTATGCCCCAAGTTGCGAAACGCCACGGTGAAGCAATAGGATTCAAATTGACCGGAGGCCGTCTCTGCAACTTAGCAAAAATTTGACATTCATGGCACTTCTACGCGTGCCTCATGCAATCTGCATTCATAGTCGACCAGTAATAACCCATGTTCATAATTTTTCGAGCCAGAGCTATCCCGTGCATGTGTGGCCCGGACTGTGTTGGACCAGATTCCCCATTATGTAAGGGAATCCATGATGGTTTTGAGCCTCTTCTTCGTCAAACGCACCTCAGGTGCAGCCATTCCAACTTCTTTTACAGGAATTCCCTCAGTAAGAAATATCCAGATTGCTAACTGTCTCAAGTCCGTTGATCAGTTTGTGGATCCCTCTGGATAGGCTTCACCCTGAAGATAATTCTGTATATTCCCAGTACCAAAGGCTTGTCATCACCAAATTTTCATAACGGTGTGTGGCTGTTTTTGTAGCCGGACTGTCAGAGGTCGAATGGACTTGGTCTCCTCTATATTTAACCATGGAAGGCCAAAGTAGCTTAGTGGCAATCGGGGGCCAAAACTGATTCTTGCGCTCGCGGCAGGGTAGTGGAACGACATACTCCTCAAATGCTGAGCCAATTCGGTCCAACGTTGTAGGTAAGGGAACAAACGTTCTTCTTTAATCTTCCATTTCCTTAGGGGCTTGGGAAGACTATTAGGTGGAAATCTCCGAAAAACCCTGAGGAATTTTTATTCCTTTTCAAGGGCCGCTTCTAACCCTTGATTTGCAAGGCCCTTGATACAGGCTTCGTATTCGGCCTCATTATTGGTACAGTCAAAGTCTAGTTTAACTGCAATTGGGACGTATTCTCCACAAGGAGTTTTGAATACAACTCCAATCCCATTTCCATGGTAATTCGAGGCTCCATCGAAGTACATCTCCCAGACCTGATTTTCCAGGTGCAACAGGTTTTCGTCGGGGAATTCTACCTTCGGCATTTGATCTTCGACCGGTAATTCGGCTAACTGGTCAGCCAAAGCTCCGCCTTTTACTGCCTTACGTTGTACAAATTTCAGGTCATAGGCTGCGAGCACTGACACCCACTTAGCCATCTTACAGTCTAGAACCGGCCTCTCCATAAGGAATTTCAAGGGGTTCGAATGTAGTGTAAGATGAGAGGTAATGCTGCAGCTTTGTACAGGCCCAGACTAGAGCCAGGCACAACTTCTCTATCTTGTTGTATTTTATCTCATATTCTAGCATCCTTTTGCTGAGGTAATACACGGCATTTTTCTACCCTTGTATCTCTGCTTGCTGAGCTAACATTGCCACCCATAGCTCCTCTGTCACTGATAGTACAATAGCAAAGGCTTTCTTGCCTTGGTGGTTGTAAAACAGGTGGGATAGCAGTATTGTCCGACTTGATCAAAAGCTTTCTGACAAATCCTCGTTAACATTGACCGCTACTCCTTTCGCTGGAGTAGTTTGAAAAATAGGACCACAAAGTATCAGCCAATCTGGATTTGTGAACCGACTGATGTATTGTAGCCTACCCAGAAACCTCGTACTTCCTTCTCGGTCCGTGGTGCTGGCATTTCCTAAAATGGCCTTGGCTTTCGACGGATCAATTTCTAGCCCTTGTGACTGAACCAAACTGCCCCAGAAACCACTAAACCAAAGATTAGCTCCAAAAAGGCACTTTGCTGTGATTGAGCTTTAGTTGTACTTTCCGAAGTCTAAAGAAAACTTCTCAAGTGCTGTTGTTATGTTCTTCAGTTGTTTTTTGATTAACCACCATATCATCCCACATACCAGCTGGTCTACCTCTTTGTGAATCATTCGTGGAAGATTGTCGGTGCCATTCTTTGGTAAGGTTCCCCGGCATTTTTGAAGCCCAAAAGGCATAACCCTGTCAACAGTAAAGGTTCATGTCTGTGATGAATCGCCCGTCTTCTCTTTGTCTGGTTGTCTGGCGGATGCATCATTATTTGGTTGTACCCGACAGCGAGATCAGTCAAGGAGACCATTTCATGTCCAGCCATTCGGTCCACTAACAAGTCGATGTGCGGCAGAGGGAAATCGTCCTTCGGACATGCTTTGTTCAAATCCCGGTAGTCCACACACATTCGCACCTTTCCATCCTTCGGTACCGGCACGATGTTGGCTAACTATGTCGGGTAAGCAATAGGTTCTATGAACTTGTTCTCCAGTTGCTTGCCAACTTCCTCCTTGATTTTCAAGGACCACTCTGTTTTCAGCCTTCTTAGCTTCTGTTTTACTGGCTTAGCCTCTGGATATACTGGGATCTTGTGCACCACTATTGCTTCTGCCGGGTCAACTGCCCGTGATGTTCACTTGGCCCGCTACCAATCATAAAACAATCAGGCGAATTCTTCAACCATTCACTGACCTGTCCCTGTTTTCATGCCAATCAGATGCGAATGTATGTGTGTGTCATTTCTTCTTGACATATTATTTTACTCAATCTTTTACTTCATTTATCTGACTTATTTATTTGCTTGGAAATCTTGGGAAAATAAACACACGCAGCGGTAAATCAAAATTTGAGGCCTTTATTACATATGACCGGAACGTCTTCAAAGGTTTTACATCAAATTTGACATTCTGAATCTTCTAGATCCGACACTGACGACTCAGAAGTGAACTGGTTCTTGACTCGAGTTTCCGACCAGGCATTCAGACTCAATACAGGAATCCTGACAACGACTCCTGGTGCTTAGGTTGTGACTCGGAGAGGGGTCTTTCAGCAGTGCCGCTCCTCCTCGATGTAAGGGGTTTATCAGCAGTGCGCTCCTCCTCGATGTACCAATTGGTAAGAGGCCCTCTGTTCGGCTTGATCAGGCTGAGCAGATCTTGATTCCCGTCAATTCCTGTGATGACTGCAACCTCATCAAAGAGACTAGGCTGCATGAAGTCTTCGATTTCCAGTTTAGTGATGGTTTCGGGCTCGTTGCCCCAGACATCGGCAAATACTTCTAACCCAGGCAGCATCTTCTTAGCAGTCGGGCAGGGGAACGGCTCCGGGAAGCCACAATAAGGAATTGTTTCTCCCGGTTTACAGAAATAGCCATTCAAAGTCAGACGATATGGCCGCATTTGTATACCTCCTTTCTTCTTTCGCCTTATCCTTTCAGCGCGGTCTTCCTCGGTAGGCTCATAACCCAGTCCATAAGTTCCTTCATTTACCGGACACTCCCAGGCCTGTAGTGCGGGGTATGTTTTACCTGACCTTGCCATAATCATTCCTGGCAGGTAGGACATCTTCAGCATCAGAGGCACTATGCAGGTTATCTGTACTGTCCCGAAATCAAAAAGAATTCGAGAATTGGCAGGATTTCCCTCTATGCATTGCACGGTGTCATACTGAAATCCTGAGAGAGGTAGGTGGGCAGTTTCAGGACTAACCTCAAAGAGAGGCTGGCCCTTTGGCTTTTTCAGCTGATGGTAGTCATCCCCTTGGATGGTGACAACTTTATCTTCATAGGGAAACTTGACCTTTTGGTGCAAGGACGAGGGTATTGCCTTGGTGTGGTGTATCACCTAAGAAGCAGATAAAGCTGGGTTGTACAATTCAATACCTTGAAATCGGAACTCCATCAAACAGTTGGCCCAATGTTAATTTCAGGTGTGGCGACCCCCAATACTTCCCTCGGTACTGTCGTATGCTTTCACTATTTGATTGATGGAGTGAAGTCTGTTTCCTCCAACCCTAAACAGCTGGGCTACCCTTAGTGGACATGGACATTCAGACTGACCCATTGTTCAATGAGGAACCATGGGCACCGTTTGTCTTCTGGTTCTGGTACTGTGGACATACAGAGCATTATTAATGACTGCCTCCCTCTTTAGGCAGTCCTCATCAGAAAACCCGATTGCTTTGTAACCTTTGGATGACTGGTAGGGTGGAGACTAGTACTTCAGGCTAACTCCACTGGACGTCTTAATTGGCTCAAAGCCTTGCAAAGAGGCCTGGCGATGAGGAAAGGATGCTGCCAACAGTTCCCATATTTGATACCCTAGGCTTGTGTCTTTTTCAATTGTAGAAGTACCGGGTCTCTTTTGGCTCCTCTGCTTCTGGTAGGGCTGTGGTGGATTTTTATCCAAAACAGTGCTCATTACTGTCTTTCCCGGCTCTGGTAATAGCAATCGATCCTTCTTCACTTATGGTCGTGCAGATCCAGGACACATATGTATTCATTCTCTAGGAACAGTTTCGAAAGGGATATCGATCAGTCCTGGTCATCTATAATAGCATTTAACCCATGATTTGGTAAGGCGTAGTACTAACGTTGGTTTACTTCTCGGGATAAATTGAAAGCCATGGTTCCACTAGATCTTGTATGCGGTTCCTAAGGTGTTCCAACACGCTTCAGTCTATTATGCCCGTTACCCGCTGGGATGGTATTCATCAGTATTCAATCCTTGCTTTGTAATTCCTTTGGTAAAGGATTGTGGGGGCCTGCTTCAAAGGCTGATGTAATTTTGCTTTACAGCTTCTCGGAAAACCAATAGGATTGGGCATCCCGGAGATCAGTGGTATTGTTCTTTTTGACTGTGCTGCCATTTCTCAGTGTTCCCCTACACGTAACGGGTTAGTGGGGAGGTAATTGCTTGCTTACTTCGTGGACTTTGCAGTTTGGCTTGGGGTTTCTTGTACTTAGAGGTTCCTTGCGTCGTCTTTCAGTGCCCCATTTGGATCAGGGTCTTCTACCTTCGTAGCAGTAGCAATGACACTGAAACTGTGTGCAAGTAACTGGTTGTAATACCGTTGTTGGTAGACAGGTTGCATAGATTCTTTATATTATGTCTACCGTTCTTGTCTGAAGGCCGGTTAATCATTTGGGCGGCCTTGGCCTCCACCTCGTAAAAGGAACGAGGAAAAAGGTTCGATTATTTTCTGCTTAGTAGTCTCTTAATATTTCCCTTCGGTAAAAACATCCACCCTCCATTTGTTGTAGTGATTACTGGGAATTTAAATTGCATTACAGATATCCTCCAGGTCTTCTCTTAACCGGATCTAAAGTGGACAACCATCTCAATGCAGGCACCGTGGAGAGATTGTTTGAACAACTGAGCAAGGAAAGCTCACTGCTTCAATCCGATATGGTTAAGGGCCCCACATACATCTTTCAGGTGAGTTTTAGGACAAGTTGGTTCCATCAAACTTGTCCATGTTGGGTCCCATTTTGAACTTTAGTTGGTTAATCTGGCTTCAGGGAACAAAGACTAAGAGTCCATGTCACACTTCCTTATGGGTCTTGAGCAGTGATTGACCTTTTCTAAAAGGCTCTAGCTTCTCTCTCATTCTCTTGAGCTTTCCAGCTCAAGTAAGAAGCAGTTTGGAGGTTACGTCGTCCAAGTTCAAGGCAGGGTTTGTAGGTCAGCAGCAACAGGCCCTTGATTGGAAGCGGCAGTGCCCACTTTCCTCCGGCCGAGTAGGGCCCCATTTCCGTTACATTACCACTTCCCCAATTCAAGTATCAGACAGCCCTTAGCGGCCCAATGCCTCATTCATTCTGGCCTCCGATTCTAGCCCAGTGTTCAAATTGATGGTTGGATGGTCAGACAGTGATTGCCTTATTGGTGTGAAGGTAAAATTTGAGGAGTCGTAGGTGTAACCGGTGATGTAGCTGGTGAAGCTGGTGTGATAGGTTGGTGATAGCAAACTTGTAGGGTGTGATTGGCAACTTGAGTTAGTGGCACTCGGATTGTGGGCACCTGTAAGGATAAGAGGTAGTTTGGATTAGGTATAGTGTTTGTTTGTATTCATGAGTGATATGAGGTAGATTGGACTCTTTGTTCCAACTGTGCATGATTGGAAGGATAAAAGGTGTTCTGCTCTCTTGTTGTTTACCCAAAATGTTTATGATATGTCTAATGAATGCGGCACAAACAACACACCATAATTGTTTTTATGATATGTTTTATCATTAGGTGCATTACAGTTTCCTTAAAGGATAGGTTCTATAGGCTATGACACAAATAGAATAGGCTTATAAAGGACCCTTGAGCCTGAGCATGGATTATACCTAACCACATGTGAAACAAAGAGTTTCGCGTGGGTCCAACGGACGCTTGCCCATAGGCCATCTCCCAAAGGATTAGGGATGGTTTGCGAAACATGGCGAGGAGGCTTTGGCTGTCGTCCGTAGACATAATCAAGAGACCTGCCCGATCAGCGGCTACTTTGCTATCCAGACTCAGAAAGTTTGAACAGAAGAGAGTAAGAAAATTCATGAAATTCATTTTTTATTTGCGATGGAGAAAAGGATTCTTCAATATTCGTGCAAATAAAATCAACCAAATTAAAATGTTCTTAATCATTGTACAACTTGAGTTTAAATTCCTCGATCCGTATTCTTAAAGAAAAGGAATACTTGATTTGTGTAAGTTACCCTGGCCAAAAAACAAAGTTATGTAAAATAATGCCCTAAAAGAAGGACAGGTTAGTTTACACAAAATAGTAGTCCACTTTATTGCAAATAAATGTTGCATTACTTTTCCCAGTGAAAGTCGCCAAACTGTGAACCCCTCCCCAAAATGCCATAGGCATGTGGAATGGCTATGTTGTCTAAAAGTGAAGAATATGCCCCGTGAAATGAATGAGTCGCCAACCTTGTTTTAATTGTTTTAGGGTAAACTAGGAAAAAAACCCTAAGTGACTCAATTTTAATTACCTAGTTACTAGAATTAATTAGCCCAATGTCTAAGTGCAAGTCTTCGAACCCTGAGGTGGGATTCCCGAGGGACTATTGTCAATTGCTGCTGATGAAACTAACCTAAAAATGAATGTTGCAAGGAAGATGATATAAATTAGGACCTAATGAAAAGATGGTTATGTGATTCGACTTGCTGCCCGGTTAGATCCCGAACGTGCCTACGTACTTCCGTTTTGAATGGAAGATCAAAAGTCACGTAGTTCGAATTAGGCCTTCTTTTTAGAGGCTTTGAATGGGATGCCTTATGATGAGTGTGTGTATGCTTTTGTGCATTTTGTTTAGGCATTTTGCCAAAAAGGTTGAAGGATGTTAGGCACTTGGTGCCAAAATGTTGGATTTGAGGTCTTTTAAGCCAAAAGGAATTTAATTGGGTTTATTCTTGCCAA